CCGAGGGTTGCGATCCGTTGCTGGTCACGAAAAATGACAAAAAGGCAAAAAAAAAAAAAAAAGGCAAAAAAAAAGATGTTTTATTCTTTTTTTTTTTTTTGTCTTTTTCCGTGTCCGGCAACGGATCGCAACCCTCAGTGTTGCCCCCGCTCCTCGCTCAGCCAGTGAGCGGGAACCGGTCTGTATGTGGGATCCGAACCCTTGGGCGGGAGCGCCGCCGCGCTTCCCAAGCGGCGCACTATCCAGTGCGCCACCGGGCCGGCCAAGATGTTTTATTCTTAGTAGAGAGTTGGAAAGATTTTTATTTAATTTTTTAAAACTTAATTACTTGTTAGATGTACCTTTATAGATGAAACTTCATAGTCCCTTTTATAACACATGGCTCATGCTAGTTTCTGAAATCTTGATCACGTATTTAATTTTATATACTTCAAATCATCAAATTTTTTCAATAATTTGATTAAAAATACATGCAATATTTGATGTTACTTAAAGTTTTTTTGTGAATGTCGTTAAAAGTTTTTCTTTGTTAACATTTATTGGGATATTAATCAGTTTAGTTAAGTAATCTTAAAAATTTCAAAACCTTTGTAAATTTAAGTAATAAGCTTCATATATAAAAGAAGTGGGTGAACTGTTTTGTGGCTTTGTTTTTAGTAACCTATAATTTTTCATAAATAATGGTTAAATAAATGATAAATGATGAAATAAATTGATATACCTGTGTCAGTCTCTAGAATTGCACTTTGAAAATTAAGCCTTAAGTTTCATGAAACATTAATAAGTTAGTTACTTGTACTTATATAGCTCCTCCTCAGAGTGCTTTTGATTCCATCTTCCTTCTTAAGTATAACCTTTACAATTGGGTAATAAGGTAGTTAAGTTAAAGACTTTAAAACTTTCCCCCAAAAGAATGGAATAATATTAAAGAACTAAAAAATAATGTGTCAAATGGCTTAGGGTGTGTGGTGTGTGTGTGTGTGTGTGTGTGTGTGTGTGTGTGTGTGTGTGTGTGTGTGTGTTATTTCAAGGAAAGCTATTTTCTGTTTATATGATATAAGCTTATCATATAAACAGAATTTGTTAGATTTGTTAGATTCTTGAGTAGAACAGAAAAGGAAGAAAATATATAATTGCATGCCTTTTTTGTAGATATTTGGACATTACTTGTCTTAATTTAATTTTTAATTCACATAATAATAAAGAAGAGCCTGAGATATAGTCCTCTTGGCCATACATTTCTTGATATATTATGTGTCATTTTGGAGATTTACTTAGTGTGCCTACGAAAAATAGTATCTATTTTGATTTCTGACAATTAGAAGTTAACAGAAATAGTATTATTCCTGAAGTATTTGAGTGTATAAAATCAAAACTTTTTTTTAATTCTCAAAATTAAAACTGTGTCCAGACTTGACTATTATCTTTTTGGAAACCTTAGCAATTTTTAGCTTAGATACTGATCCACAGCTGCATTCAATGAAATATTAAGTATTATGAAAAACTTCATCTGAGCAACTTAAAGTTTTCCTTTCATCCTGTCAGAACAGTCATTTTGCCTTCTTTTTAAATTTAATACTTAAAATTTAATTTTATAAAGTTAAATATATTTTTTGAAACATTTTAAGGCCATGTGGTTTGTCACCGCAGGTTTATCAAGTAGAAGATGTATGTGAAGAAGAAATGCCAGAAGAGTCAGATGACTGTGTTCGGATGGATAGAACCCCACCACCACCCACTTTGTCTCCAGCAGCTATAACTGTAGGGAGAGGAGAAGATTTGACTTCTGAACATCCTTTGTTAGGTAAGGAAACACCAGCATTTAGGGGATTTCTCTATTCAGTGAATGTTTGTACACTCGTCCCTTGGTATCTATCAGGGATTGGTTCCAGACTGCCCTGTGGATGTCAAAATCCATGGATGTTCAAGTCCTTTATATAAAGTGGTGTAATATTTATTTGCATCTGATCTATACACATGCCCCTCTCATTTACTTTTAATCATCTCTAGATTACTTATAATAACTTATAAAATGCCCATACATCATTCATGTGGATTCAGCATTGTACTTGTGGTTGGTTGAATCCACGAATGCAAAACCCATGGATTTGGAGGGACGACTGTGATGGGAGACGTTATTTTTTCACTAGAGATGGTATTAAACTAATTTGTTATTGTAGTTGGTTGCAGCAAAAAATAGAATTCAAAAAAATTTTTTTTGATGAAGAACGATTACAACAAACCCTTGAACATCTGGGTTTGAACTGTGCAGATCCACGTATATGTGGATTTTTTTTTTCAATAAATATGTTGGAAAATATTTGGTTAGGTATGGTATGCATTCATTACGTAGCCTACCTAACAGTAGGCTATTAGTAGTTTAGTAGTTGAGTAGTGAGGCATTCCCCCCCACCCCCCATGGGGCTGCAGGGTACACAGAGAAATAGGTTATCTATGGATTTCTGACTGGTTGGGGGTTAGCACCCCTAACTCACATTCTTCAAGGGTCAACTGTAGTTTAGTAAAGAGTAAATAAGAGCTATTTGCCTTCTTGGAAAATTCTTTAGTAGCAGAGAAACGCAGTAGTTTATAAATTGTTCAATACCACCCAAATGAAAAATATGTCATTTCAGTCTTCTAATTTTTAGTGGTCTATACAGATGTGTTTCATATGCCCATTCAGATTCATGTGTTAAGCTACTTCTAGCTTAAAAATTAGAATAAATTGAAATTCTATGAAAAGATTTAAATTATACTTTTCAAAAATCACAGAGCATTCTAAGTCGTATCTGATATTCCTACAATTACTTGTGATCCAGACTAAGGAAATACTTTAAAAAGAGTTCTTTAACACTATACTACTGAAGTTAAGCCTCACTAATTCTCACAAGAGACATGGATTAAAAAAAATTCTTGAGCCTAAGCTTCAAATTCTAATTCATTACCTCAGTACTGCTTATGAGTCCAAGTGTATCTTCTGTATTCTTTTCCTCATAATATCAAGGTTACTGTGAACTCTAGGTATTTTACTAAAACATTAGTATAACCTATTGCCCAGTGTCTAGGTCCTAAAAAAGAGATGTTCCATATTATCTTTTAAAATTTATGACTATCTTATTTAGATGAGGTTTGTAAACTATACCTCACTGTTCAAATCTTTCCAGCTGCCTATTTTTGTATGGTTCAAGCTAAGGATAGTTTTAAAATTTTTGAATGGTTGGGGTCCACCCCGTGGTTCACTCAGAAAAGTGCGGTGCTGGGAGCGCAGTGGCACTGGGAGCGCAGTGGCGCTGGGAGCGCCATGGCCGCGGGTTCAGATCCTATATAGGTATGGCCGGTTCGCTCACTGGCTGAGTGCGGTGTGGATGACACCAAGCCAAGGGTTACGATCCCCTTACTGGTCACAAAAAATAAATAAATAAAATAAAATAAAATTTTTGAATGGTTGAAAAAAAATAAAGAGTAATAATTCATGTCGTGAAAATTATGCAAAATTGAAATTTCATTGCCATAAATAAAGTTTTGTGGAACATAACCATGCTCATTTGTTCAAATATTACCTATGGATACCTTTTGTGCTAATAACCACGAAGTTGAGTAGTTCCAGAGACTACATATTCCTTTACAGAAAGTTTGCTGATCCCTGATATAAATAATACTAATTTTGGTTCAGGCTTTGTTGTAAGTATTCTGTTCTATTGAATATCTCATGGCCCTCATGACCATTTTCAGTTAAGAAGAACCACTGTAATAGGTATGGAAACAAATTGTAATGGGACACCGACCCTGTCTGTTAGCAGAGCAACCCTTGACCTCTATATTCTTCAGCATTCCACATTCCCTTCCCTCCCCCCCTCCTCCCCTCTCCTCCCCTCTCCTCCCTCTCCTCCCCTTTCCTTCCCTCCCCTTCCCTCCCCTTCCCTCCCCTTTCCTTCCCTCCAGCTTTTATTCCCTTACTATTAATGTCAATCTCTGAAAAGCATAGAAGGGGAAAATTAATTTTCTTCTTTTTCCCCCTCCTGAAAAATAGAAAGTGTTTAGTCAATTAAATTACTTAAAATATTTAAGACAAGTTTAATATTATTGCCTTTGTTTATTCAAAATAATACCTCAAAAGGTAGATTTAAGAAGATCTAACTATAGTATCAAATCTTTGTGGTTTCTTTCTTTCCTTTTTTTTTTAAACAAAAGGTTATTCTGAAATATACAGCAGGCTCCAAGACAACACTTAACACTGGCTGTAGGTGGCAAGAGATGTTATGGCAGGGAATCTAGATGTTTAAATGGGAATGAAATCAAGGGTCACTATCACCTCAGGTACAAGGAACAGCTTGCTTTTTGCCGGATTTCTTAATTCCACCTGTGGGCGGGGGTGCGCCCTTGTGGCCTTCACTTTCAGTTCCTCGAGTTTCTTCCACTCCTCTTTTTGTTTCTGCTTGAAAGACTTCTTCATCCATCTCCTTGGCCTGCTTCTTGGGCTGTTTTAGGGGCTTCTTGTTGCCACCTTCACTGTCAGACATGGTGCCTGTCGCCCCTTCCCCACACCCTGCCACCAGAAACTGCCTGTGGTTTCTTTACACTGAAAGTGGATTTATGTTGCTGCAGATTTCCTGGAGTTTTGATTTAAAGGCAGAAATACAAGTTTAATTGTATACTAAATTTGCATTGTGACTGATTTAATTACAAACACATTCCTGATGGCACTCAAAGGAAATTTGAACATTTTTGAAATACTGGAACACAAGACTATCTTTACATTTTTTCCTCAGGAATATAGTCTGAGATCCTGCCAATTGCATCTCTTTGGCTAAATTATCTAAGTACAGTGTAGGCTTTTTGTATCTTCTTATAATTTACTTTGTACTTACCACTGTTCTATAGTATATGAGAGGGGAAAAAGCCTGGGTTGATTTTTTTTTTTTTAGAATAACTCTCATCAAAACATGAAATAACTGTAACTTGCAAAAATAGACTTGTTTCCATCCAGGATTCAGTTTTTATAAATCTGTAAAAATTCTTTAAAAGTAAAAAAGCATTCATGCAGAAAGGGAGAAGAACCTCATAGCTTTTCCTCAGAAAATGAGACTGTGACTAGACAGAGTAACCTGTGGCAAAGTCATATCAGTTAACAGGTTTTCTCTCACACTTGTTTTAAATCTACATGGTGTAATAATTGTGTTTCTGTTCTACTGTAAGACATCAATTTTTCTCATGTTTTTGATTTCAACAACTAATTATAAACTGGTAAATAATGGCTGTTGGCTTGTTCAAAAAGTCAGTAACTTACAGCTCTGTTTTTAACAAAACTTAGAAATAATAATATTGGCACATTTGTACATATAATCTAAAAATTAATTAGAACATACACCAAGTAGTATTTTCTGAACAAACCATATTATGCCTAATGCAGCTTTATATTTCTAAAGTAACAAAGTATGTATAAATCTGTAAGGCATATTAAAATTTTATTTTTTGTTTTAGTTTCCCATAGATTTATTTTTCACTTCCAATAGAAAAATGCCATTTAGCCTTACTTAAGAATTTTATATCTTTTATTCTTTGTCCTCTAGAAGTATATGTGAAGATTTGGCATGCGGGTAGGATTTTTGTGGCATTCCTCAGTTTGATAGTACATGTGTACAACTGTGTATTTATTCCCAGAAGTCATCAAATTTTACTGCTGATTTTACTTTTTTAGCTTATTACAGATTGTGTCACTTTAAACAGGTTTTCCAGTGCATTTTTATCTTGGTTGATTATTTGGTAGAACTAGGTTAATGTATGGCTATAGTAGTGCTGATAAAAGCTACATGATGATATTGATTATATTGGAGTTACTAATGGTGAACTGTTAGCATTTCCATTTCCGAGACTGTATAGATGGTTATTAACACTATTTTATTGGCTGAGTTTTCTATTCTTTAGTGATTCCTATTCTTTCTCCTCCACCTAATTGGACTATATTTTGAGCATATTTGATAGGTGGTGTCAATCGTTTTCATACTGATGATGGAGAGGAATTAATACAGCATTTAAGAGCATAGTCTCCAGAACCAAACTGTCTGGGTTAGGATCCCAGCTCTACTACTTATTTGCTGTGTGCCCTTAGGCAAATTATCTAATCTCTCACTGTCTTGGTTTCCTCATCTGTGAAACAGAGATAATAACAGTACCTACCCATAGGCTAGTTGTAAGGATTAAATGAGTTACAACATGTAAGGCATTGAACATAGTACCTGGTATATGAGTACTCAGTAAGTATTATTATTACCTTTAAACACGTGCTTTTTTTTCCCTGCAGACATCTGTACTCATTGATATTCCTAGATATAAGCCGGTTTCATCTTTCCACTTTAATACAGGCAGTAGAGGGTTGGTACTACTGAATGGGTAAAGTCTCCAGATTAGATATATCTTACTGTGGTTCTTAGAGTTTGAAGGGAGGAATCCAGTCCAACATTTTGCACTTGCCTGGTGCTACCGTGTTCCCCCAAATCAACATATACTGTGCCATTGAAGAATTAACAAAAAACAAAGAACATTTGTGTGAGTAGTTGGAGGAAAGTCTTACTGCTTAAAGTTAAATGTGATGACCTGTGTGACTCATTAATATTCCTACTTATTCTGTGGATTTCATGATCCTTTTTTATTTAACTTTTAAAATACTCCCCTGTCCTGCTCATACCATTTGGAATTTCATATCTGTATAGCTTAAAATATAAAAAACCAAAAAACCAAGCAACTATCTTAGTAATTATTCTTAAGTTGATATTCACAAACATTTTCATGTCTTATGGGACAGTTTTTTAAACCAAGGTTTGAATGATAACTTTGAGCAAGCTATTCTCTTCTTCTGTAAAGTGGAGATAATGGTAGTTTCTATCTCTTAAGGTAGTTTTGTAGATTGAATGAGATAATAAAATTCTTAGGATGGTTTTTGAAAGTATCAGATTTCATTGTTCATGTGTTTATTCTTGAATTATTTTTCATATTTGCCTGGGCAAAGTGCTAAAAATCAAAAAATTACTTTTTTTTTCCCCCCCCAGAGCAAGTGGAATTACCTGCTGTGGCATCAGTCAGTGCTTCAGTAATTAAATCCCCATCAGATCCCTCACATGTTTCTGTTCCTCCACCTCCACTCTTACTTCCAGCTGCTACCACAAGGAGTAATAGTACATCTATGTCCAGTAGCATTCCCAACATAGAAAACAAACCTCCACAGGCTATTGTTAAACCACAGATCTTGACCCATGTTATTGAAGGCTTTGTGATTCAGGAGGGACTGGAGCCATTTCCTGTAAGTAGCAAGCATGTTTCTGTGTGTTTTTTAAATTATTCACGTAACATTGTTTTTAAAATGCCCTATTATTGTTCTGTAATAAAAAGCTTGTAATTTTATTTTTAAAAAGCTGTTAATTTTTATCTAGAATTTATCTGTGTCCTTTGTATGTTTCCAAATATATTTCTAGAATTTTATGCTAGCAATTTAGATGTATAAATTAAGGAAAAATGAAAAAAAATTCAGATATGGGGGTACCAATTTTATAATTTTTAGAGAAAAGTAGTTAGAATTTTCCTCCAATGAAATAAACTTTACTGTTCTTTCTTTTTAAGGGGACTGAAATGACACCTCAAGTGTATTATTTTTAAAATAGCATTTTTAATTTGTGATACTTTGTGAGCTTTCACTTAAGTGCAGAAAATATTAACTTCCCAATGACCTAATACACCTTAATTTACCTAATTGATGGTTTATAATTAGTAAATAGATTTTCTCACTTTCCTAAATTTCAACTTTTAATCAGATTTTTAAAATGCTTTAAAATGGTCTCCTCAAAATGGAGGTGTTCTCATCACTACAGATCTTACAATTTGAGACTAGCTGTACATAATTTATGTGCTAATACCTAGAGATGAGTATTTTCCTTTGAAAATAAATCAAAGACGGGTAGACATAAAAAAGTGAAATATTTCTTTTGAAGGTCTTTGAATCATCTGAATTTTTAGATTCATGGGTGAAAATCTTGCAATGTGATAGTTGATTACCCAGTCAATTGCCTTTGTGTTGTTTCCTATGTATGTGTGTTAAACTTATATCTCCTATAAGAATTCCGATACAGTGGATGGAAGAACAGTCTTTCTTTTCTCCCTACTCAGATAAAATAGTATGTGTGACTAAAATTATTTGGATCCTGGCTCTGCCACATAATCACTGTGTAACCTTTGTCAGGTTGCTCATCCTTTCTGATCTTCATTTTGCTCATCTGGCAGATGGAGATGATACTTTGCTGTTAAGGTTGTTGTGCATAAATTATTCTGTGTAGTACCTGGCACTTAATGGCTATAGCTGTTATTACCTGTTATCACTAATAACAATTGTAACTTTTGTTTTTCAAATTAAGAGTAATACATGTTCTAAATTGATAATTTGGGAGATGTGCAGAACAGATAATCCCCAATAATACCTTAATGTGTATATTTATATATTTTTTTCATATAATCAAGATTATTATTGTATATACAGTTCTGCTTCTTTCACTTAGTAAATTTGAGCATTTGTTTATCCATATCATTAATAGTACTTTGGAAACATTTTGAAAGGTTACATAATATTCCAATTTATGGACAACCATAATTTATGTAATCCTTCCATTATTGGACATTTAGTTTCCCATTTTTTCACCAAATAGTTCTGAATGGAATGACTTTGTATATAAATCATTGTCCACATTTTTAATAATTTTCTTAGCATAAGTGGTATGCATAACTTAACCAAGTATACTGAACCTAAGTGAGCATTTTGTTGTTGATGATAATGTTTGAAGATTTTCCATTTCTTTTGTGATTACAGTGGATTAAGTTACTGAACTAGGAGTCAGACTTGAGTTCTAGTCCTGATTCTGCTTTTGTAAAGAAATCACCTAAGCACTTTGAATGTTATCTGTAACATTCTTATCTATAATAAAATACATACAATAATGGTCTATCTTGATTATGAACCCTACAAATAAAAAGCTTTGTGCGTGAAAAATCTCGAACATTGTAGGAAAAAAAATTATTAATTGAAGATACTGGCTAATCAAAATTTATTGCTGATCTTTTATTTGTGTTACATTCATATGGAAAACATGAAAGTTTCTGAAGGAAAAAATTAGTCACCACATAGAACTTGAGAGAGAATTGTTTGAGTAGAATTTTTAAAAATTAAAAAAAAACCCAAAACTCTTAAATATACTGATAGTTATTGCCTTTGTTTTTCAATATTGGCTAAGCTACCAAAATATTCATAGTGCAGGATAACTTGGTGATTAGTATTAATTCTGAGCATAAGGAATTTCTAAATTTTAAGACTTTTTTTTTTTTTTAAAGAACAACTTGCTTAACTTAGGACACTAGGTTCCATTTCACAGAGACTTTGAAGCAGCCATACTGCTGATGACTAGAAAGAAAGCATTTATGTCCAGATTGCCTAATCTTTTCTCAAGTAATAAAGCACTTCATGAATGGATCTGATCAATTGAACAGTAAATTATCACCGATAGTATTCATTTCAAGAGGTTTTTTAACTAAGTTATTTCTGAATGTCCTTTTAGAAATTATTTCATTTTATTCTCTCTCCCTTTTAAAGGTGAGTCGTTCATCTTTGCTAATAGAACAGCCTGTGAAAAAAAGGCCTCTTTTGGATAATCAAGTGATAAATTCTGTGTGTGTTCAGCCAGAGCTACAGAATAATACAAAGCATGCAGATAATTCATCTGACACAGAGATGGAAGACATGATTGCTGAAGGTTTGTGGATTTCACTTAAGAAACCCCTTTAACTCTGACTTTTACTTCAGGACATGAATTTTTATTCTTTCACAGTATTTTTTTTTTTCATACAATGCATTGTTTGACTAAAATAATGGGAAAGCTAATCAGATTCTTAGTGGCTAAATAACTGAAATAATGAGACATGCTAATTTGTACAATGTCACTTTGATTTTTGAAGGAGCTCGGGTGGGAAGACTTCCATCATATGTGAGAGAAAGTAATTCAGAATTTTAGCATCAAAACAATTCTGTTCCTTTTTTTAAACAGACGTAAATAACCAATGACTATTTTACTGAGCCTGCTTAAAAATTTAGAGCTTCTGTGTCTGGTTTTAGACTTTCCACATTCTGAGGTTTGCTATCTACTGGGTATTCCAGTTATATTAGGGATGTATTCTTCAACCAACTGTGATTACATTTGTTCAAAGAGGAAAATGTCACTAAATCTCCTTTATGTCAAAGAATCCTTTTTTGTAGACTTTATGGTAAAATGAATACTGTGTAGAAGTGAAAATGGTATACAAAATGACTGAAGGAAAAAAACATGAAAATGATATATTTTGTACCTTGAGTTTGCTATTTAAAATCAGCAAATTCCTGTACTGTTATTTTGGATGAGGTTCGTTCTGAGTTTCTGATTAAAAAAAAAACAAAACTAGGTATAGGAGCATCTTCGTGAGACTTCGTGAAACTATCCCTGATTTGTTCTGATCATGGCCCTGCAATTGATATAGTTCAGTTTAATGTAATAGCATTTAGTATAGTCAGGGCTCTAAAGTAGTGATTAATTAACATCTGTGTCTAAGTAATTATCTTCAATATAGGAGTAAATTTCATCTGAAATTATTTTGCAGGTATTTCTTGAGCCTGTACTATGTTCCTATAGACTTTGCTGAATTAAGCAAAATGGCATGCTTCCAAACAAAATAGATATTGTCTTTGCCCACAATTTTTGTATCTCTTAAAAGGATGGCACCTCTGACATTATTGGTACTTTATAAACTGTCATAATGTATTCATCACTGTTTTACTTATTATTTGAACAGCAGAAAGTTTAGTCGTGTAAAATTTGACTTTTACTGCTAACATACTGAATTCAGGTTTGTTTGTTTTAATTTTTAAAAATGTTAACCATGAAGAATTTCATACATACAATTAGAATTGTATAATAAATGTCCAGTCACCCAGACCCAACATTGTCATCCAATTTCAACATTATTTTGTCACACTAGCTTCATCTATCCCTTTCGTTTCCCTCCCTCCCGTCATTTCCGCCCCCCTTTCTTTCTATTTTAGGGAAAATCATCGTCCTTGTTTTATTTCACTGCTACACATATCAATGTGCATCTCTAAAAATATATACATTTTCTTATATAACTATAATTCCATATCACACATAATAGTAGTAATTCTTTAGAATGATCTAATACCTGGTCCATACTTAGGTCTCCCCAATTTTTAAAACATGTCCTTTAATAGTTATTTGGTTTGAATGGGGATCCAAACAAGGTCTACATTGTGCCTTTTGTTGTTATGAATTTACTTTTATTTAATTCCCAAATACTTGCTTTTATTTACACATACTATTTTATTTGAGAAAATTTCCCATTTGAGATGAAAAGTAGTAAAGATTAATTTCAGATATTGTTTTTCTTGCCTACGAGGGTACTTCAAAAAGTTCATGGGAATTAGGGAACTAGGGAATCTTCATAACAGAAAGATAACTAAAAGGCAACAAATGGTAAGTTTTTAATGAATTATATAGACAGTACGAATTTAGGATTTTAAAACTGGCTGAGATTATTCCCAGATTGGTGAGTTTCTTATAAAGATGAGATTGGACCTGGGTCTTGGATAATAATACCTAGATTTAACATAACAAACAGGAAGAACATTTCAGGTTAGAACATCATGAATAAATGCACATAGGATGTGTAAGTGCTTAGGTAACTTTAGGAGGGGGCAGTGAAGAGTAGAGGGTTGGACTAGAGGAGTAGTGGGAAGTAAGACTAGCAGACTCATTTTCTGGAGTTCCTTGCATATTAGACAAAGGAATTAGGAGTTATTAGGAGTTATTTTGCTGTTGAGGGGATGGTTACTGTAGATATTTAGGCAGGTGACATGAACAAAAGAGTAGTTTTGGGAATTTTGCTGGTTATCTGTAGGATGTATGTAGAGGCTTGGCATGTAATTGACACCCGTAGTCATGATGAGAAGAGTAAGGAAAGGACTGATGGGAGACAAGGCAAAGGGTAATTCAACAGGATAAGATACTAGAATAAGGAAAGGAGGATTTAAAGATAATTAGTAGAGAAATATTTCTATAAAATGTGCTAGAATTTTAAGTGCTTCATAATTTAATTTCCCAAGGTAATTTTATTTCATTGTTTCTGTTACTGTGTACTTCATTGTTTATGGGGAAGTACAATAGAATGAAATGGTGAGGCACTTATTTAGTGGCTTTGGTTTAAAACTTCATGGTAAGGATTATTCTTTTTTTAAAGGATAAACTATAGTTATATTTGGACTGGTTCTATAGCCAGAATCTCCAGCCACAAAATTGTGATCTATCAAAATATCTTATTGTCTTCCCCAGTAAATCATCACATTAGCCATGGTTTCTATCTCATTGCCTCTCTTTGCTGCCAATCCTTATGTGATTTCATGTCCTCAGGGAAATTAAATAGTAACTCCTCCTCACACAAAAAAATTGGGGGCCTGTATTTGTTAGGATATAGGTTTGGCTACTCTCATGGAGACCCAGAATAATGTTTGATTAAATAAGATACAAGTTTAATTTTCTCTGACATAGTCCAAAAGTCAGCAGTCCAGAGCTTACATGGTAGCTCCTTCGTGTTGGGCACCTAAGCTCTGGTGTCTGTGTCTCTGCCATCCCCAGAATGTTGCTCTTATTTCCAAGATGGCTGATCTTCATGATCACGTTCTAACCAATGAGATGGGGGAAAGGGCACCATCTGGAATTAGCGAGCATTTCTTTTCACATCCCGTTAGTCAGAAATCAGTCACATCTGGGGCAGAAACTAGTTTTCATTCTGGGTGGTGGTGTTCCTAGAGTTTTGTTACTAGGAGAAGAAAGTGAAATGTGGATGCTGGAGAATTATCAGCTGTTTCTGCCATAGAATCTCATTTTTATTACCAAAACAGCAGATTTTGAGTTCAGTTTGAACTCATTTGGCTCTGCAATTTTTTATTCACAAATGTGGAAAAGTAACCTTGGTAACATTACCAGATTTGTTAAAAATCTGACCGAACATTAGAATATGAATTTTTGGATCTGTTAATGTCCCTTACTTTATGAGAAATTTTTGTCAGGTTGTTAACCTTAAACCCCATCTCTTTGGTATTTATCCTCTCTCACCAGCAAAAATATTTCCTTCTCCTTAATAAGGCAGTCTGACCTATCACATGTTGTACAGTATGTTAATTAATTAAAAGAAAAAACCGTTGAAACAAAACTTTTAGTATAGCCTGTTTCTGGAACAACTTGAGGAATGGACTCTTCAGGGCTGGACTGGTGGCAGTGGTGGTTGAGTAAGAGGGGTTTTGTCTCCTGTACAGGCTTTTCAAGGTCACGTCAGGTTATAAGCATGACAGAGTAAAAACAGTACTCCTGGGAGTCATGACATCGGGTCCCAGGAATGTGTTGGTAGATGTTCAGACTAGGGCAGAGCTGTGTGAAGGCCATCCTTAGGTCATTGGAAGAAACAATTTTTATTTTGCTTGTTTTGAGACTATTTCTTCCTCATTGCTACTAAATTGATGACTTTTGCTTATGAAGGTAGTCCTGAGAATTTCCTTTAAATGGTTCATGATTTCATTAGTCAAGGTAATATATTTGGATGTCCCACCAATGTCAACTATTACTTCACAGTATGTTTTTCAGTAGTTTTTGCTACTTTCACTTGGTTTAGCACTTTTCCATCTGCTTCTCCCATAAAAGTGCGATAATGGGAGTGCCTGAGCTTACTGAGTATATGCCATCCATGTCTACATTTCATAGTCCCTATCTTCATCTTCACAAGTCTTTGTTAAGTTAGTAACATAGAGCACATACAGAGCTCACAGTTAAAAGCTTGTTAGTAGAGTGCATTTGTTGCATATTTGATATGACTTGGTACAGGAATTATGATGATGCAAGAAAATGGCAAAATAGGGTGGATTTAACAGGTTTTACAGAAGTATTTCTTGAGCACTTCTTACATGTCTTAGTACTCTTACCTCTTTTAGTGGAAAATAAGAAATGGAACTGTCGCTTTTTTATGCCTACAACCTGTTGAGCACTCATTTAATCACCACTTCAGTTCTTTGGGAGAAAGGTTTTTACAGATGAGAAAACTGTGGATTGTGAAGATAAAGTTTAAGATTAATCCTATAGGTGACTGCTACTGAGAACTTGAGGATGTAGGTTGGAAGTTTCTTTGGGTTCTGTGCTGTAGTCTGAAGAAAGTTAGGAATGTGGGCTTAGGAGAAAGACATTCTAACTCAATAGTGAATACCCTGACAAAAAGCATTAGCAGTTGGAAATTACAAAACTATTTGTGATTTTAAGACTAATCTAAATTATTTTTGTTTTAATATAACTGAAAAGAACTGTTTTATAATTAGATATATACATCTTTATACATTCAATCTACACTGAAGATCTTTGAGAGAGTTATTTTCCGTGCTCCTCTAAAATCAGACATATTAAAATTTCACCTTTTTGAAGTCATTCTCTCCAGTTAGAATTAGGTTCTTTGCTATACAAAAATACTTCAAAAAGTTCATGGAAAATAGAATTAAAAGATAATATGAATCTTTCGATGAAATTTTTGAAGTGCCCTGTATATCTCCACAGCACGGTGTACCAAAATTCATATCCCACACTCTGCTTTTTGAAAGTGTTGCTCCTGGAGGGTGGTGACTGTATATTATTCATCTTCATTTCTCTCACAGTGTTTATAAACTTGTTTGCATATTTTAGACATGGTGGATTCTTAGCAAAATTAACCTTTAAAAGCATTGTGCTCATTTATGTAGGAAAAAAACTCCATATAATTTGTATGTAGAAGCAAAAGGGAATTTTGGAGGTGATGGTATTGAAGGCTTTTGCCCTGCCAAAGTGACCATGAATTGAAAAGCTGAAGGATATTGTATTCAACCAGAGTAGAGGCCAAAAAAAATTTGCCACGATTAAATTTTTGGAATTTTTTTCCTTTGTTTCCTTCTTTTTTAGAGACGTTAGAAGAAATGGACAATGAGTTGCTCAAGTGTGAATTCTGTGGGAAAATGGGATATGCTAATGAATTTTTGCGGTCAAAACGGTTCTGCACTATGTCATGTGCCAAAAGGTATTTCTATGTTTTTGAATTTCCTAAAGGACATACCAGCAGCCACTGCAACAAAATGCAAAACCCTTGTATAGTATATCACTAGTCAAACCTAGATATCATAATACAGATGAATAATATAGATAGGCTGAATATTATTAGAAAATATTATTAGAAAAGTATTATTATTTAGTTATTAGATGTTTTTCTGTGAAAACTACATATTCATAACACTTACAGTCAGTTCTACAAAATAATCTAGTATTGAATTAGCAGTCTCCTGGTGATAAGAATATGTTTAGGACAATCCCTCCTATGGAATTATCAAGATATTATAGAATACTAGTTCTTAAGGTATCAAAACAATATTTATCAACTAATTGTTTTATCAATATTGGATTTAATTTGTTTTGTTTTAAAGTGTTCTTGTTTGTTTGAAGCATGTCCTATTTTAGGTTTCTAAGTGGGACAGCTATAGCCTAAGTTCCCCACATTGTTAACATTACCATAGTAAAGTATCTTTTTTCTAAATTATTATTTTCAATACTAATTATTAGAGGTAAATAGTATTAATAGCAAAAGAAATGTTTATTCTCCATTAATTTTATAATTCCCAAATTTGCTTTACATTAAAAAAAACCCACTCTGATTCTGATAACAAATCCTAATGGTATAGATATTTACTACAAAAGTTGAAGTGTAGGGCTGGCCCAGTGGTGCACTGGAGAGTGCGCCGCTTGGGAGTGTGGCGGCGCTCCCGCCGAGGGTTCGGATCCCATGTGGAGACCGGTTCCCGCTCACTGGCTGAGCGTGGTGTGGGCGCAACACCGAGGGTTGCGATCCCGTTGCCAGTCCCTGGCATAGGTGCGACACCGAGGGTTGCGATCCCGTTACCGGTCAGTAAAAAAAAAAGACAAAAAGGAAAAGAAAAAAAAAAAAAAGTTGAAGTGTATGCACAAGTTGATTATTTTGAAATTTGTTCTCTGTTCAAAAAGAGATTTTTAAGATCTTAAATGTTTATATCCAGGGAATATCTTACTTGAACATTTTATTTTGTATGTATACCGCCAAAATGTACTTAGTGAAACTTAAGTTAAATCAGTATTAGAAGTATTTTCCTCCAAAAATGGGTTCATTGTTTCAGTTGTCAATCTGTGTCTCAAGACCCATAATCAAATTATGTAATTCATGTTTTAACTTGTATTTTCTCATCTGCATATATCACAAGAACGAACAGTGGCTAAAAACTCTGAAAACTTGGGCAAAGACTGCCTTTCAAAATATTTTAAATTAATTGGAATTTATTTTTGTAATTTTCTTATAAGAGTTTTGAAAATTAATTATAGAAGCAGTTTCATGTGTGTAAAAAAAGACTATATATATGTTTTCTCATCCTTTCCATAACTTTTCAGAAATTTTTTTCTTAGATTATTTCCTCTCACTGTTCTTTCTAGGGAAGGGTTGGCAAACTTGTCCAGGCCAAGTCCTCCCTGCCACTTATTTTTTGTATGACCCCTGAGCCAGTTTTTAAATTTTTATGTGGTTGGAAAAAAAAAAACAAAAGAATATTTTTTGACACATAGAAATTATGTGAAATTAAAATTTCATTAATACTGAAAGTTTTATTGGAACATAGCCATGCTTATTCATTTTTCTACAGCTGCTTTCATGCTGCACTGGCAGGGCTGAGTATATGTGACAAAGACTCATATGGCCTACAAAAACTGAAATATTTACTATCTGTCCCTAAATAGAAAAAGTTTGCTAGCCCTTGTTCTAGGACTTTGGAACTCATTAAATGGCATTAGGACTCTTTTAAGGTGTGATCATCCCTTCTGAGAGTCTGTGTTCAAAATTTTAGACAGTCTGTTTTGATAAAAGTAGTATTTTAGCCAATCTTAAAGAAGTATGTATTTCTGAATTTCCTGGATAGTGGGAGCAATGAATTCCCTGGGGAACTTTGAAATCTCAACATTACATTTTCACTCTTTGAGTTCAGTAATATTTGAAAAATCTTTTACTAGCTGTTTTTGAAATCCTCCCCCTACTCTATTAACCTCGTTTTATTCATCTCTCTTCAGAAATTATTACTTGGGAAAATAACAGTTTAAATAATAAACAGCTAATAGTTACTGTGTAACTTTTTCTCCTGGAACCTTGAATATTTTTGCTGCTGTAAAAATTGGGTATTTTCTGTATTTTGCAGAAAGTTTCCCACTATCATGCCGTAATCAGAAGAAAATACCAATATCTTGTTATAGGTGTTCAGTATTGTATTGAGAGATAAGATATACACAGAGGCTTTTTTTTGACCTTTAGCATAAGTAAATCTATTGAACTATATGGTGTACTTTATAAAGTGTTACAATCTTTAATGAAGTAAAATACTACTTACTGATTCAATTGCACTTTAAAGTCATAATTGAATACTAAATGGAGTGTCCCTTGTATCATTTAATATTTTTTCTTACTTGAATTTCTTAGGTACAATGTTAGCTGTTCTAAAAAATTTGCACTTAGTCGTTGGAATCGTAAGCCTGATAATCAAAGTCTTGGGCATCGTGGCCGTCGTCCAAGTGGCCCTGATGGGGCAGCAAGAGAACATATCCTTAGGCAGGTCTGTAGAAACTTTGCTTCAATGTATAATACCCTTTTCAGAAATGCAAGGAAAGTGCAGTGCTGTATTTTACTTGTACTACATTTTCCAGCTTCCAATTACTTATCCATCTGCAGAAGAAGACTTGGCTTCTCATGAAGATTCTGTGCCATCTGCTATGACAACTCGTCTGCGCAGGCAGAGTGAGCGAGAAAGAGAACGTGAGCTTCGGGATGTGAGAATTAGGAAAATGCCTGAGAACAGTGACTTACTACCAGTTGCACAAACAGAGCCATCTATATGGACAGTTGATGATGTGTGGGCCTTCATTCATTCTTTACCTGGTATGTAATTTACCACTTTGGCCTTAATATTTTTCTTGTGCATTCACAGACAGGAATGATGTTAGATCCATCCTCACCTTTTGCACGAAAGGGCTAGAGAAGTACTGTGTATGTGTATAAATTAAATGGCATTTGCTATTGAAATGTGATCTCTTTCCTCTTGCTTATTCCCTCAGCACAACTGGGTATTTTCTCATACCCCCCAAGTCGATAAAAACTGACTAGTCCTGCTTCTGCTGTGACACCTCAGCCGGTGAAGATATTAAAGGTGCTCTCTTCTCTTCAGTCTGATTTCTCTCGAGAGGTCAGTAGAGAGATTGAGTCAGACACTTCTTCCCTTCTGCTCTTCTATTTTTCTATTCTATTTCCTCCTTATTTCCTAAATTAACCTTTTAAAAATTGAAATAAGAGAGACTATATATATATATATATATATATATTTTTTTTTTTTTTTTACATTTTTGGAAGCTAATCAAAACCTTTTAGAATATGGTAAAATTTTGGTTTCTTTTTTAAAAATCAAGCTGGTTCTTTTAAAGGAAGCTGCATTCTTTTTGATTCTTTTCAATAAATAAACATCAAGATCCCTTCTGAAATTTTACTTTTCAATTAGCTGAAATTCAGTTATGATAATTATTCTAATATTGAGGGTAACTTTCCTATTTATGTTTTCCTGTTCTAACTCTCATTTTGATACTCTTCCCATCAAACTTAAGTCCCTGTCTTTTTTCTTTTATGAACAATCCACTTTCCACTTTCTCCAAGGGGCTGGCTCCTAAAGACACTATACCTTTGTTCATGATGAGACCCACAATGGTTACATTTGTTAAGACAATATATTTTTTCAAGTCAGCAAATCTTTTCACTTTGACCTTATGAATATGGAAAATGAGAATAAAAAAAAAATTGTTCCCTTTTGGTTTTATTGTGAATTAATGTCATTTCTCTTGAGATAAGCTTTTCAGAAGAATATATCCCATTTGAATTTGTCTACCAGACTTATATAAACTAAGCTAATTAATTATCGTTGGTAATTAATCTTTCTATGAAGGTGACCAAAGTTTCAGAAGCACTGTAACAGCTAATGTGCTGTGCAAGAAAATATATTCAGAAATACCGGTTTTTAAAAAAAATCTGTGAGCCATTTTACCTCATATACATAACTCTATGAAATTTTATTAAATTATTTTATCAACAGCTTGTTTTAGAAATGCTAAATAAATTTTTATAAAAGGTATGGTCACTTTTAAAGAAAGATAATGGTTTAAAATGGGTATACTTTCCTCATGGGAAGATTTTTAAGTCTAAAAATCTAAGAAAACTTAGGTCCAAGTTAATTGCTGACCATGTGGGTTTAGAATCTGGTTTAAATGTGATATATTAGAGTATGGTGAGTCTTCACAGGTCGTGGTTTTAGTATTTAATGAAATAAATTTTAGTTTTTAGACCAGTATGGCTATCTTGAGAATTAACATTGGAGTCTTTACTGATCACCTGGGGCTGGACTTTGATTCTGTCATCTTCAGTAGTAGTCTCAGTCTTCCAAGTGAAGCTTCTGTGATTGTGAGCCTGATTTCTCATTTAGGGAAATTATTTCTTTTCCTTTGGGGAGGAGAGTTAGGTGTATATCTGGAGGAAAATAGTTGCTCAAATAATTAACAAATAATAAACCCTGCTGATTCTTCTATCACTTAATTTTTTTTTTTTTTTTCTTTTTAGGGCTGATTTTCCCCAGCATCCATTTGCCATGTGGCTAGTCTTGACTACTAACATTCTTGCTTCATTTGAGTTAAAAATAGACAAACAGAAAAACACAACATTTTGCTCATAACTTGAGATGCTTGTTGAGTTTATCTAGACACTTAATTTTGTTGCCAGTTTAGTGATTACAGATCCCTAAAGGGAGACTGCTTTATAAATTGGAATTGCTTGGTACTGTTTTAGAGTCTGCTTAATATAACTCTTTTCCTTTACTGATGAAATGGGAGTATTTCCAAACTGCTTTTGACAGGCCAAATAATAAGCTTATTTGTGTGATCAGTATATTGCCTTTCTTAAGGTTTCTCTCTGAATAATGCTTGTAGCTTAAGGTAAATCTCATACCAGAAAAGGCCGTATCTTCCTTTCTTTCAGCTCATTCAGGGCTGTTTTTTTTCCATGAGTAGTCTACTCTCAAGCTTTTCTCATTGAATGAAGAAGCTTGTAAATTTTGTACTCTTTTGTATTTTGTTTCTTTCCAGTTGAGGACAGGCTTCCTTCCCTCTTTAATCAGAGCACCTATATTTACTCCTACAGTTTTCTCTTCTCTATCTTGTTAAACATCCTGTTGGGACTATGTTAGAGAGCATAAGCAGTACACCAAAATCTCAGAGCTGTTACCAGAGTGAAAAATTATCTTAGAATTTTTTGTGTGTTAAAAAATTCTCTACAGAAACAGTTCTTATTTTCAGTTAACTACAGTTTATCCTCCTTAACTCTTCCTTGATGTAATAAACTGCCTTTTGCAAAGACAAGTTTATTCTGTATTTACTGATCTGGGAGTCCACAATGGATTTGGTTTCTCTGTAGGTATATCAAGTAGGAATCATTTTTTAAAATGTGACGATTGGTTTTTGTAATACCAGTATTGGGACTTGTTTATTGTGTACTATTGAGTGGTAAGTGATATCTTCTCACCAGCCTTACTGAGGTCAGTTTTTGTGCAGGTGTTTTCCCTCGTGCATAGGTCCATGCCCATCCTTAGAGCTGCACTGCACTTGCTTCTGGTGAGGTGCAGCTAGCTGAGCTGACTGGTTGCCTCAGTGGATGTGGGTTTTGTACACATCCCTGGGCTGTAGCCATTTTACAGAAATAGATGTTAGTGTCAGAAACTCACAGAACTTTAGCTCAGTATACCTAAAGGTTTCTTTCAAGATTTGTTTTTCTCTTAATGAGTTTCTGGAAGCATACTTGCTTCAGTTTTTTTTTCTTTTTCTTTTTTAAGTTACTCTTTTTCTCATTTCTGTACTAATGTAACTACACTTTTTTGTGGTTGGCTTAAGAAAGTTGCAATCTAAAATTCTGAAGATAGGTTTAGACTGTGGTGTTCTAACACCAACGTGAAGGGTTCAGATCTCCTTACCTGCCAGCTTCCAAAAAAAAAAAAAAAATTTCTATTCCTATTTGATCATGCTTTTTTCCAAAACACTTTTTGTTCTTTATTTTTTTGCTAATACATTTACTGTCTACCTACCAGAAGACATTTGAAGAGGAATCTCACAATACAGAGGAACAAGAACATGCTATATATTTTCCTCATGGAGAACTCCTTGTTTCTATTCCCAAATGTAGCTCTTATGGTCCTCATTACTTCTTATTGCTCCTGTTTTCTCAATCTGAGTAAGTCCCACCCTATCTTTCTCTCTCTTCTTTTCTTTCCTGTGTTCTTGTAAATAAGACTGAAGAGAGAAGAACAGTTCTTTCATAAAAAGAAGGATGAAGTCACAACTAGATGCAAGATTAGTCAGTTTTGTCTGCCCAGTTCTGTTGAGAGCTACCTCTGGGAAAAGAAAAGGAGCTTTTCTATGGTGAGTAATAATACCATTTCAGCTATATAGTTTCTTTTATATGGTAAATGGGCAAAAACATAAAAACATTGTAAAGGGTAATGAAATGTCAAGTTTTTTTTTTTTTTTTTTTTTTGTCTTTTATCAATGAAATGTCAAGTTTTAAAAGTCTGAGACATTATTAAAATAGAGAAATTGAAAAGCTGGCTGCTACATAGGAAATAGTAAAGATATAGTTAACAGAGGACATGGGAAAAGAATCAAGAGAAAAGGTGGCCACACAGCTAAACACAGGAAAAAGTGTTTGTACTATGTTACTCTTACGGATTACTCTCCGTAGCAGATCATATTTTTGTTCATTGTTTATTCACTCATTCAGTCCTTCACTTACTCATAAATGTAGGTGTGCTGGGGTTATAAGAGAAACATCATTATCTTATATAAACAAGAGGATTATACATTTGCAATAGAAAGGATAATCATTCTAGCAAAATTGTGGTATCCAAAAGTGTAATGTAACCATTTCCATTTTTCATTATCTTTTTCTCTGTGTTTTCCCTTAGAATGCTGATTTGAATAAAATTGAAAGACTTTAAGCTGTTAGTTTTTATTCTTAAATTCATTTTTGTAATTTACTGTCTCTTATAAGGAAGCTTCCATATTTTTGCATTCTCTCCTCTCTTGGCTCCTTAATTCATTACCAGAATTAATTACTGGAATTCATTACCGGAATTACTGGTTTCCTTTACCCTTAATGCGGAATTTAAATTGAGTAACCTGGATGTTCAGAATTTGCTAGACAGTTAAATTGTTTGAGGTTCAGGTAGGTAATTAGTATTACCTGCTAAAACACCTGGTTTATATTGAGCACTAAAATATTGGTTATTTGGCAGGAGATTAACCAGCAGGCTCATTAATTTCAATGAGAATTTGTTTTCTTATCAAAAGTGGAGATGAGTCCAGTGATATTAAGATTTGGAGTTGAAATTACAAGTCGAGCAGTGTAATACATTTTAGCAGCATTACAACAGATTGATACTACAATCGAGGGATTTGTAACATTTATAACCTTTCATTTTATTCTTCTGTACCTTTATGTGAAGGATATGTGGTACAAAGATAAGTTCATGAGATATAATAAGTAGTTAATCTAGACCTGTTATATGTATGGCATGCTTTGAGGCAATACCATAGTCCTTTTTCTGAAGGAAATGTTATATCCTACATGGATCACTTTGTACATTTTTATCTCCTACTAATTATTTCTATCATATTATTTTAGAGCAAGAATTCCAAGTAAATTGCTTTACCTGGATTTTGAATTAATTCTTATTTTCAGATTGCCAGCAAATATGCTGTTCTTCAAGGGTGAACCCAAGACTACAATAAATAAATTTCATTTGTTTCTCAGCCTGTATTTCAGATTCTCAGACACAGTGAGACCATAACTGTGACTATAAGGAGTAATATCTAATTGTTGTGTATTTAATTCTAACTTCCTTTCTCCGATCAAATTCCAGGCTGCCAAGATATTGCAGATGAGTTCAGAGCACAGGAGATTGATGGACAGGCCCTTCTCTTGCTAAAAGAAGACCATCTCATGAGTGCAATGAATATCAAGCTAGGCCCAGCCCTAAAGATCTGTGCACGCATCAACTCTCTGAAGGAATCCTAACAGGAACATGAGGCTCTAATATAACAGCAGTTTTACTCTTCTCAAACAGACTTGTAAGGTAAAGATCTAAGTTGGCCTAGAGCGTTACACTTATTATGATGGATAGCCAAGCACATTGGGATCTTCACATCAGATGCTGGTATTTCTTCTACAGATATAATAATTCATTGTACATTTTCATAATTAGCCAACATTGGTGAAATTAACTTTACATACAACATTGAAAGATCTGTTATAGAGGGCCATAATATTTTTCAAAGAAAAGCATTATACTAGATAATTTTTTTAAAGGTGATGTTTATCATTAATATAAAGAATCCTTTTAAGAGTAATTTAATGATTTACATTTTTCTTCTTTTGATTTGGTTTTCTTATACATTTTTCTACCCTATTAGTTTTCTAAAGGTTGTCATAAGAGATATGTTATGGAATAATTTAGGAGTCCAGTGATGGAATCATATGTAATGAAATAGTGTGCATTTTAAAAAACATGTCTTTTGACAAATGTTTTTTCTGTAAAAAAGGATTGCATTCTAGCATGAATAATACTGAACTGGAAGTCAGAAGAGTTGGTTTCTGTTTTAGGCTTGACCAAGAATTTGGTTTGACTGAGAAAGTTAGTTTTCCTCTCAGTTTTTGTATGTTTAGAACAGTGGTTCTCAATGGAGGTCAGTTTTGCTCCCCATTGCACATTTGGCAACATCTAGAGACATTTTGGTTGTCACAGCTTGGGCTTGGGTTTGGAAGAGGGTTGCTACTGGTATCTCTAGTAGGTGGAGGACAGAGATGTTGCTAAATATTCTACAATGCACATTAATGCTAAATATCCTCCACCACAAGGAATTATCTGGTCCAAAACATCACTAGTGCCAAGGTTGAGAAACCTGATATATGAGTGATTAAATGTTACTTTTTTCATCCAAAGGGATATTTTTAAAAGATGGGCATAATAAGGAATACATATACAATGGAAGTATTATTCAGTTAGCATTAATGTTCTGCTGAAGTATTTTTTCCAGTTTTATGCATAATAGAAAAGGAAAAAATTGTCCTATAAAATAAGGACTAGCATACAAATAATTTGATTTTCAGAAAATACTGATTCATATTGTCTTTCATATCTCTGTGTTCCTCTGCACTGATGAAGGCATAATATGATTATACCTATGAACCAGTGCACAACCTTTTCTGGCAAGGAAATAGTTGATAGTGGATATGTGGTTGCTCTTTGGATTTTTTCTAATGTTAAACATGCTGGGTCTAGCTAGAATGCACATTCCTTTTTCCCTTTTACTAAACCCTTGCATGCTTCCTGCAAAGCACTTACCAGGTGGTTTCTCTTGGATGATCAGATCTACTTGTGTATATATATATATATATATATATATGTTTTAGGGAAAAAAATTTTAAAGCAAAATTTTTCACTGAACAGTTAGTGTTCTATAAAATTATGACATCAAAACAAAATTCGTTTGTTGGAGCCCTAAAACTTTATGGTCCTGGACAGCAAAGATTTTATTTGAGATCATGAATGTTTTTTTCTTTAATTTTATATCTTTACCACATGATTGAGATATTTTAATAATTGAAGGAACATACACGGATATTCAGTAAGTGGCAAAAAAGTCCGTGAGTTTCAGTCATTTTCACTGCTCTTTTCAAAAAGATTGTGTTGAGCTAGTAGAAGACTGAAGATGTCCCTAAAGGCATCACAGATATTTATCTTTTGGCTTTGTGTACATTAGAGAATGTTGATTATTTTTATACAAAAATACAGCGGGTAATTTTTTTAATCTTTAGATGCCTCTTGTTTGAATGTATGCTTTGTAAGATCCTTCGTGTAGTAATGTTTTAAAACAAGATGTTTACTGATAGTTATGTGTAGGGTTAGAATGTGTGATATAATGGAAGGCTCATGTTCCAGACCTACAATAGCTTGTAGTCTACGTTACATATTTCTTTATATCACATTTTTAATTATTGGGTTAAAGTTTCAAGGAAAGGTATGTACTCTATAATCAATTTTCTTGTACTATCAGTTAATCACTGTGACAGGTGTCATATGCTTTGACTTTTCCACTCTTCTTGCAGTTTCAGAACACAAATATAGACTAAGCATTAGTAAAAGATGTCCCACTTTATGAGGGAGGAAGGTGCAAAGGAAAATCTCCCTGCAAATTAAAACTTTATAATAGATAATCCACAATTAATATAAAATAGACTATTCAGGGATAAACTCCCCTAGCAATAAAGATTACCTCTCATAACTATATCATCTTTGGCCTTTAAGGAGTTTACTTTGAACTGTATCGTAGGTTCTCCCTTTATTAATCTCTTTCCTAAGTCATTCTGTACTTAATCCAAACTCCTGTGCTAGTACTGTCTTAAGTATCCAGGAGGGGCTTACAAGGGCTTACAAGAGTGGTTTCTATTGGAGAATGCCTTCTCTAATCTTAAATCTTATAAGCTTAAAACTAGTCCATATCTTCTGTTGGACTGACTCAAAACGTACCCAGAAAATACACTTGCTTTTTTCAAGTAAGTTTTATTTAGAAGTGGCTCATTTGCTGTCAACTGGTAGTTCTCCTGTTGATGCAGCTATTTCTTTCTAGATGACTTAATCATCTTAATTTGAAAGCATCAATTATATAATGAATATATATAACACTGGGTGTCCACCTCTCTCCTTAGCTTTAAGCACAGTTTCAGGTAGGGAAGAGTGTGATTTTTTTCATTTCATTTTGTATTATCAATTGTTTTAGGATTTTGATTGGGGAGAGGGAGTGACAAGCAGAAAGAAACCTGGGAGATTCTTCCTATTTTTGCTACTTAAGTTTGCATTTTCTGACTTCTTTAAGCTGTTGCACTCTTTTCCTGTTGGGGGAAAAAAACCTGTTAAGTTTGAAATTTTATTTGCTTTAAGCTTTGTGTTCCTAGGAAAGTAAACAAACTTGAGAGAGCTGGCTTGTAAAAATTATTTTTATATGATATTAATATTCATCAAGCCTTGTGTAAGCATGTGTAAGACACAGCTATGCAGCTTTGATATGATAAATACAGTATCAGACAGAGTGCTGTCCCAAAACCTGTCACTTTTTTAATGGCATGATGATACTTTTAATTTGCTATGGAATCCTCTAAACAGAACATTTGTTTAGTCCTGGTTTAAGGTTGTCACCTAGGAGTAGAGAAAGTGGAATGGAAGGAATGAAATGTTAGTGAAAAAGCTTGAGAATGCAAAGAGGCAGCAAGGAGACCTGCCATTTTTGTGAGTTTAGCCTACAACACTGCACAAATTTCTGCACTTTTGAAGTATTCTACCTAGTTTAAAATAGAAATTCTTTTGGTTTTGTTTTTTTTTTTAGGTATCCCACTCTTATTTTTGTTTCTCAGTATGTTGAAATATTTAGAACTGTATGAAACAAGCATTATTGTGACTATGCCTTTGAATAATTTTTGGTATAGCTAATCTTCATACAGCAAGTGCAAAATTATAGTCAGACATCTATTCACAAATACAGGTCTTAGATTGAAATCTGTCGTAGTGCTCTGTCTCTCACTGGCTTGTTCAATTAAATGTCCTAAAGCCTATTATTGCCATTTGTGGGGTTTTGGTACCACAGTGGCACAAGTATGGTAGGGAGGCAATATACATGAATAGTCTGAGTCTATATACCTGTATTGCATGTGTATAAACAATTTTGAAAAAATAAACTGTTATAGATGTATGTGAATGATGCTGACCTCACAGTGGATGAAATACCTGACTGGACACACAGAACGTTTTAAAAATATATTTTCAACTAGAACAGCCTGCTTATATGTTGTGGTTTGAAGACTCTCACCCTTGGTGAATAGTGGAAACGCATGCTGCTTACTGACATTGAGCATTAGCTAATGGCATGAAAGGGGTACCTTGCTACATCCCCTAAAGTCTCCTCCAGCCCTAAGAAAATGGCATGAAAATTTTCTTCTTAGACCTTTGCCTGAAAATTCTTAGAGAGGATTTTGTACTGAGGCTAATTTTAGGAAGAGAGGCAGCTGGGGCAGGACTTTGTAATTCCTAACAGTGAAACCTTTGGGCAGCGGTACTGGCCCATCTACGCAAACTTTGCTCAGTCTGTTTCTTGTGCACCACGTATGTAACTAGCTGGGCCCAGAGGAAGGTTTTCTCAGGGGGGAAGTGGATGAGACTAATAGAAAAAGCATTCCAGAGCCAAGAGGATAGCACAGTTAACTAAGTGAAGTAATTTAGTGTAGATATGCCCTTCATCAACAGTTCAAAATAATAAATTATAACTGTTGGATTCCAGTTAAAGCAATAAACAAGTTATAGTTTTTATAGTCAAGATTTTCCTGCAGTCAAACTCACGTTTTCACTCTTTATCAAGTGACCCTGCCCTTATGAGCATGGATATTAACAGTTGCAATGATACAAGTTAGTAATTTTTGGTTTCTGAAAAAAGATGACAACTATTATAGTTGGAGAATATTTGTCAAAGATTCAAAGGTTAACAGTTATAACTGAGTTGTCAAAAGTACAGAGGGGAGTTTCCATTTTCAGATACCATAGTTGAATCAACCTTGTAGACTGTTATGAAGAAAGGCATTTTAAGATAGTATTTTATTTGTTAGGTTGTGTCTAAGAATTGCGTGACTTAGAGGGATAGGTTTCTCTTTGCTAGTCTGGATTTCAGTGAACACCACAAGCTTACCTCTATCTCTTTGCTGGACAGCAGTGTGTATCACAAAATTAACTGTTTAACCCACATTCATCAATATTAGTATTTTGTAAATCTATTTAGAACATTTGATTTCATCTTGAAGATTGTGATTCAATTTAGATAAGCACAAATATAAGGAAAAGTAAATATGCAGTCTTACTAAAATCTAATTTCAACCTGTTAAGCTGTACATGTTTGGGAAGATATTCCTCTTCTTAGAAGTTTATAAAATGTATCACAATATAGTTTCCTTCATAGCAACAACATAAGCTATTTCTTCAATTAAAAATGTTTAAAATTATATTAACTTCTTTAGGAAAAAAGTTTCCTAAATTTTAAAAAATTTTCAAAGTTTTGCATATTACTTTTTAGAGCTTATTTAATCTATTTAAAAATTATTCTATGAGAAAGCTTTTTTTGAAAGTTGTAAAATGCTAATACAAACATAATTATTACCTTCATACTCCAGAGGTAATGTTTGGCTTTTTCTGAAGTTTCACTTTAGTAAACAGACAGTCATAAGTTTTAGAGTCCATGCCCTGTTTTTTAGATCTGAAGCGCCCAGCTTCTCTAATGCAAACTTCCAGTCTACTCAGACACATGCACAT